GAACTCTATAATTCTTTAGAGTTGCCTAAAACTGGAATGACCTGCCTTCTGAAGCCGAAAGTTGTGTCATTGAAGGTGTCAAAGGGTAGACTGAATGGCTACTTGTTAACAGTAGGTATAGTTGATCAAAGCAGCTTGGTGGAGTCTAGATGATAAGAGGTAGAGGTTAAGGTAGGGATGAGATAGCACAGGGTCTCATGTCTCAGGGTTGCAGAGCAAGGATGGACAATTAGCAGAACCAATTAGCTACTGTGGCCTTGGGACAGTTACGTACCTTGAATCAGGAGCTACCACACTATTCACCTAACCAACGTAACTCCAAATGCTTATATGATAAGCATTCTCATTAGAGTGTGTATTAATACCTAAGTATTATGTTTTAAGGCTGTCTTCTGTAATCAGTAATAGCAATTTGTTTCTCTAGGTCTAGTCCATTTTACCATGACCCCTCCCCTTAACACTGTAGTAAAATTTTGTGTGTATGTGCACATTGTGGAATTTCTTGAGAAGAGGTTTTTAGCTTTTATTAGATTCTCAAAGAGGCCTATGATAAAAAAAAAAAGTATGACACAACTGTATGGATTGGCCCTTTAGGGTCACCCTTATTGTGAAGGTACAGTGTTCATCCCAGACTTAGGCAGTTAATTAAGCAAGCTAAAAAGTAGATAATGCTTCCTAAGTGGGTGTCATTTTTGTAGTTAGAATTTTATGAAGAACTTTAAACCATGATTCTTACATTTATGACTTTGTTTCAAAGATCTAAAAGGTCCCTTTTAAATCTTAACATAAGCATTGACTGGTGTGGCTCAGTTGGTTGACCGATGTCCTGCAGAATGAAAGCTCTCTGATTCAATTCCTAGTCTGGTCACATGCCTGGTGTGCAGGTGGTCCCTAGTTTCGGCGAGGTGGGGGTGTGTGGGAGAGGCAGCAGATAAATGTTTCTCTCATGCATTGATGATTCCCTCTCCCTACTCTCTAAAAAATGAATTTTTAGAGAGCGGGGAAGGGAAGGAGAAAGAGAGGGAGAAAAACATCAGTGTGTCGTTGCCTCTCACGTGCCCCCTACTGGGGATCCATCCTGTACCCCAGGCATTTGCCCCAGACTGGGGATCAAACTGGCGACCCTTTGATTTACAGGCCAGCACTCAATCCACTAAGCTATGCCAGCCAGGGCTAAATAAAATCTTTAAAAAATAAAACAGTATAAAACACATTTGTCATTCTGCACTAATCTTTTAAAAGAAAGCAAAGAGTGTACAACCAAGAAGTGGGCTTTAAGGAATTATATCTTTATGTGACAGAAATGGTTACATCTGTGACTTGGTCTAGGCTGATACTAGACAAATGATCTTTAATATGGATCCTCTTAATGTTTATACCTCATTCCAAAAATGAAAAATTGTTTCCATCTTTTTAAAATATACAGATTGGAACCCCTAAATATAATTTTTAAAATATAGTGCATGTTTTATAAAAAACAATTTTCAAACCTATATAGTGTTTTTTTATTTTAAAAGGATTAAAATATAAAACATCAGGGATAATGATTATAAATATAAGATATCAGAGAATAGAATTATAAAGCAACTGTATTCAAAAATAAATTTTGTAAAGAGGCTCAATTTTATGGACTTCCCTGATGTTTCTCTGGAGATCATTGAGAAATATTAAAACTGTTCTCCATAGGATTTAGAGCTTAGTCAGTATTTGAGGATTCTAAATTCCAAAGAGATGCTTTGTTTTAGTGCATTTTAGTAATCACTTTATAAAATTTTTTTAAAACTTCTGTGTATAATTAAATTTTTACCTTTATATAAAAATTCATTTTGGTTGGGGAATAAAGAATTTTTTGTAACTTGAAACTCACTGAATGGAAATCTCCAGCCAACTCTACAAGCTTGAAGGGAAGAATAGACTGTGTGATTTGTAAGCACCTTCTAGCTCTGATTATGAGTAGGAAGAATAGAAATTGATTTAGATCAGGTTAAATAATATTCAGAGGGAAGAATGTAAGTTGGGTGACTCAAGAATAACTATAAAGAGATGTATGGCCCTGGCTGGTGTAGCTCAGTGGATTGAATGCTAGCCTGCTAACCAGAGGATTGCGGTTCGTTTCCCAGTCAGGGCACATGCGTGGGTTGCAGGCCAGGTCCCAGCAGGGGACTCATGAGAGGCAACCATACATTGATATTTCTCTCCTTCTCTCCTTCCCTTCCCTTCTAAAGATAAGTAAATAAATAAATAAGTAAATAAATAATCTAAAAGAGAGAGATGTATGGTGTTGACTCACACAAATTTGAGGAATGTGTTTCTGAATGTAGGCTTCAGAAAGAAGTTTGTACTTGCTTTAAAATCTGTTATGTTCTTGCCAAAATAATGTTGCAGTTGTATGTTACAATAGTTGTGAAGTGATCACACATGATCAAAAACAGAAATTTTAAATTATCCTTAGAAATCTCTTAAAGTAATGTTCAAGTATTATATACATTCTATCTCTCACAGAAGGGCACAATAGCTAGTTTTTCCTTTAGAAGCTACAAAAATTTTGTTAGTTGAGCACTAGATGAAGTTGGCTTACTTTAGGGACTTTGTTTCACAGAAATACTTCAAACACTAGGATTAGAGTTTGGCAGGATGCGTACAGGGAGAGAGGCATAGGTAACTGGACAGCTCCCTTCTCATACTTTTGCTTAGTGCCGCTCCTTGGGGAAGGCGTGATTATGTAGTTGGAATGGTGTCTGTGTCGTCGAAATCCTGTTTCTTTCCCCTGAGGTCTTATGGTTGAATTCATGGAAATAAAATGTCCACATGATGCAATCTCACTGCATTCACAGTGAACTATATGAAGATTTCACTATGAACTTAAAGAAATTTGAAAAAATCTTGGAATGGGATGAGAGAAACATAATGGTGAAATTATATCTATTAAAGTGAGCTGAGTTTTATATATGTACTATTTAATAGTAAGTTTATTCAGTGTTGAGAATACTGTTAATGATCCATAGGAATTGGACATTGTAATTTTATGGTTCTTAGCAAATTCTGAGCTCCTTAAAAATAGAGGATAGTAATGTAAATTTTACTAAAATTCTTGTATCAACTGATACAGTATGCACTATTCCTTGGATACATTTTATGTTGTTTGCTGCCACTTCATTTTTTTTGCCACATTTTGTGTTGTTTGGCACTTCATTTTTTTAAATCAGAAAATACTGTTTGATGCCATCTAGAGTTAACTTATGTTTATAGAGGCACTAAAAAGAATGTATGTTTGTTTATGCAAACATATATTCTTACAGAAGATCTTGTTGGAAATATCCAATACCTACTGAAGGAAACCAAAAGAGAATTTAAAGTTTTACCTTTTATCTGACTATTTTTTCTAATTTCAAACTTCTTTTTTTTTTTTTAAGATTTTATTTATCTTTAGAGGGGAAGGGAAGAAGAGAGAGAGAGAGAAACATCAATGTACGGTTGCCTTTCGTGTGTCCCCTGCTGGGAACTGGCTTGCAAGGAACCTGCCTGCAACCCTGGCATGTGCCCTGACTGGGAATCGAACCGCGATTGTCTGGTTCGCAGGCCCGCACTCAATCCACTGAGCTACACCAGCCAGGGCTAATTTCAAACTTCTAAGTTCAAGAATAGTAACAGTAAACATTGTATAATCTTTATGTGGACCACTAGTTAGCATTTTGCCATTTGATTTCTCTGTATACACACACGCACTTTTGAACCATTTAAGTTGCAGACATCGTAATCCTTCATACTTAGTTAGATGTTTAAAATATGTATCACCTAAGAACGAGGACTTTTTCTTAAACATTACAGTACCATTATCAAATCCAGGAAATTTAACATTGAATTGATACTATCGTCTATGTATTCATAGTCAAATTTGCAAATTATTCTAGTAATAGTCTGTTTTTTTCCATTCTGGATCTCATTCCACATTGAGTTTTTTTAACTAAATTGACCTCTTAGAGTCCTTGATTTTATTTTTTTATTTTTAGAGAGAGGATAAGGGAAGGAGAAGGACAGAAACATTAATGTGTGAGAGAAACATTGCTCAGCTGCCTGGCCCAGGATCCAGGCCCTGACTGGGAGTTGAACCTGGGACCTTTCAGTTTGCAGGCCAGCACTCAGTCTACTGAGCCATACCAGCCAGGGCAGGGTCCTTTAATATACAGAATGGCTACTAAGTTGGGAACCACAGGAGAATATATAATAAATGGTTTATTAAAATCACATTAAGATACATGTCAAGTAATAAATAGTACCTGTTTCCAGACTTTCATCACCCTATAGAACAGTTCCTTAGCCTTCGTCTTTCAAGACACTATTACCTTTTAAATAAGATTCTGGTTTTTTTAGAGATGTTATTTGTTTCTGGGTTTTTTTTAGAGCTGTTATTTATTTTTAGAGAAAGAAGAAGAAAGGGAGAAAGAGAAGGAAACATTGATGTGTGAGAGAAACAGAAACATTGATTGGCTGTCCCTCCCATGCCCTCTACTGGGGACATGGCCTGCAGCCCAGCCATGTGCCCTGATTGGGAATTGAACTGGTGACCTTTTGCTTTGTGGGAACATGGTCAGCCCACTGAGCCACACCAGTCAGGGCTATATAAGACTTTTTATCAGTGCAAATTTCACTTCAAAATGATATTTTTATAGGATCGTTTTTAGATACATTGTATTTAAAATTCAATTATTTTCTTAGTTTACTATTAAGTAAGTTATTGATAATATTTTTAGACATCATTTGCTATAGATTTCCCATATTGGCTGTCTTCAGGCTGCAGTAGATGCTAATAAATTAAACAAATAGTAAGAAACAACATTCAGGCCCTGCCACTTACGGTATGATCTAGGGACAACTAAGTCAACCTCCTGGGTGGGTTTTTATTTTATTTATGTTGTTATTGAATTTATTGGGGTAACTTTGGTTACTAAAATTACATAGATTTCAGGTGTATAGTTTTATAATACATCTGTATATTGTGTTAAAATATAGAACACATCACCAATTTGCTTGTCATCCTTGTTCAGGGGCCATGCTAATATCTGTCATTGCAGTTTTATTGTATGTGCTGCTGAAGTGAGCACCTGAGTGGGTTTTGGCATCTCTAAATCTACAGTGCAAATTAAAGAAAAACAAAGTTTCTCATAGGTTTGAGAGAGAATTAAAAGATAGTATGTGTGGAGAAATGTATTATATAAACTAGTAGCGCTATAAAAATGAGAGCGGCTATTTTCTAAGTAGCATTGAAAGTCTCTGAGTATACTGAACTGGAAAAAGGAAAGGGAGTTAAAATGTAATCTAGACTATTTAATTTTAATAGGTTTCAGCTTTAATGGTGAGGAACTGTGTTCCTCAGGAGCTTAGTTTGGTACTACATTGTGTTCTCACCCCCTAAATAACAAGAAAAATAGCTGTCATTCCACCCTTCCTCTCATTTTCAAACACACACCTGCCTGTGTAATGTAGCAAAGAGCTATCTACTATTTTCATGAGATTTCTGAAATGGAATGGAGCAGTAAGTGGATGGTGGTATCTTAGAGATTTGAAAAATGTATAACCACAAAGGCTTCAGTAGCAAATTAATTGTTTACTTAATAAATTTTTATAAGAATATTTTGTATACAGTTATAACAGGTATGATATAAAATTGTTTCTTGGCACATGAAAACATAGAGTATATTTAGAAATTAGTGAATTTTTTATTTCAATAATTATTTTATTACCAATAAAAATGGTAATGTCATGCTATGGTATTTTACAAAATGGCATATACACCCAGTGTGAGGTAGACATATTCCAAAATAGTATTTCTTTTAAATTTATCTAATTGTTGTTCAAGTACAGTTTTCTGTCTTTTACTCCTATCCCAGCCTACCCCCACCAGTGCTCCCCACCTCCCTCCCATTTCCACCCTCCTTTAGTTGTTGTCCATGTGTCCTTTATACTAGTTCCCATCCAAGATAATATTTTAAATTAATATTTTAAAATTGAGATATGGCCTTTTGCATTTGAATTTGTGCTTACAAATTTATAGTCATTATAATCCATTCCTACCAAATTATTTGTGTAATTGCTGCATTTTTGTCTTGTTAGTTTTCTCACAATATCAAGCTTACTGAGGCATGATTTACAAACAGCAACATTCATTCTTTAGTACAATGTTATGAGTTTCAACCAGTGCATACATATTAACTACCATGATCAAGATACAGAACTTTTCCAACACTCCAAAAAGTTTCCTTGTTACTTTATAATCAGCCCATCCCCTCCACCCCTGCTCCTGAAAACCATTGATAGTTTGCCTTTTCTAGAATGGTGTATAAATGGAACCATACAATATGTAGCCTTTAGTCTGCTTTCTTTCACTTAGCATAATACATTTTATTTTACTTTAAAAAAATTCAGCATAATTATTTTATCTTTATTGATATTTATATACTTATTTACTTTTTAGTTTTCACCGAAGTATATGACTATTGATTTTAGAGAGAGAGGAAGTAGGGGAAGAGGGACACACACACACACAGACATCAGTGTGAGAGAGAAGCATTGATTGGTTGCCTCCCATATGTGCCCCCACAGGGTATCAAACCCATAACCTTTTTGGCGTACAGGATAATGATGCTGGATCAACTGAGCCCCTTTGCTAGGGCAGCATAATTTTAGAACTATTTGTATGTGTATTAGTTTTTTTTAATTGCTGAGTAATAATCCATTTATAGATGTGTATTATAATTTATTCATCAGTTGAAGGGCATTTTTGTTGTTTACATTTTTTTGGAGATTATGAACAGGGTTGCTGTAAACATTTGCATGAATATATACTCTCATTTTTCTGGGATACCTACCCAGGGGTGGGATTGCTGGGTAGTGTCCTGAGTATATGCTCAAATTTATAAGAAACTGGCAGACTTTTCCAAAGCAGCCACATCATTTTGTATGCCTGTCAGAACTGTGTGAGAACTAAAAAATAATTGAGACTCCCAATGGCTCTGAGTCTTTTTCCAGCACTTGGTATTCTCAGGTGTTATATTTTTGTTTAATTTTAGCCAGTCTAATAAGTATGTAATGGTTCTCATTATGGTTTTAAATCACATTTCCCAAGTGACTAATATGTCGGGGAGCTTTTCACATGCTTATATGCCATTTGTATATCTTCTTAGTGAAGTGTCTTCATTATCTTTTGCCTTTTAAAAAACTTTTTCTTGCCCTACTAGTGTGGGCAGTTGGTTCAGTATGGTCCTGCAAAGTGTCCAGTCAGGTCACTTGCCTGGATTGTGGTTTGGTCCATGGTTGGGGTGTGTGTAAGAGGCAACCTAGCAGTGTTTCCCCGTATTAATGTTTCTCTCCTCTTTTTCTCTCTAAAAATAAATAAAATCTTTTTAAAAAATTGTGATTTTCTTACTGAGTATTAAGAGTTCTTCATGTACTGTAGATGCAGATTCTTTATCATATAATACGTTTTGCATATTTTCTCTTAGTCTATGGCTGTCTTTTCATTTTTAACACAGTATCATTTATTATTTGTTTACTTGTTTTTCTTTCTTTTACTGATTCTAGAGAGAGGGGAAGGGAGGAAGGACGAGAGGGAGAAAAACATTGATGTGACAGACAAATGTCAGGTTGCCTCTTGCATGTGCTCCGACTAGGGACCAGACCTGCAATCCAGAGACGTGCCCTGACCAGGAATTGAATCAACAACCTTTGGTTTGCAGGACAGTGCCCAGCCAACTAAGCTGCACCAGTCAGGGATAACACAGTATCTTTCAAAGAATAGAGTTTTTAATTTCGATGAGTCCATTTATTAATTTTTTTCTCTTTTGGGTTGAGCTATTGGGGGGGGGTTGAGCTTTTTAAAAAAATTGCCATATATTAGAAATCTTCCTAATTAAGATCACAAAGATTTTGTTCTATAAGTTATATAGCTTCTGTTTACTTTTATATGTTAAAAGGAGGAATAGCCCTGGCTGGTGTAACTCAGTGGATTTAGTGCAGACTGTAAACCAAAGGGTTGCAGGTTCTATTCCCAGTCAGGGCACGTGCCTGGGTTGCAGGCCAGGTCCCCAGTAGGGGGCATGAGAGAGACAACCACATATTGATGTTTCCCTCTCTTCCCTTCCTCTCTCTCTGAAAATGAATAAATAAAATCTTTTAAAAAAGGAATATATGAGGTATAGTAGTAATTATGTATCAGAGAGGAAATAATTATGTAATTTACTATTTTAATTTGGTAGAATTTGTGGTATGAAATAATAGTCCAGTGAAAACTTCTTTATCAATATACTAGAAAACTTAGATATTTAGAACTTAAGTCTTAAAAATATACTGGTAGTGAAGCATCTTCAAATAATCAAAGAAAAGTTTCAGATATTAATCTTGTAGAAAGAAGTCAGTCTTGAGTCCTAGTACTGGTCATACCACTTAATAGCTCTGTGAATTTTTTTAAGTGAGGGTTTTCAGTATTCACAATCTCAGGGTATTTAGTTTTTATTTTTTCCTGTATAGTATAGATAAAGAATAAGCCTTTAGTTAAGTTTGTTTCCTTCACTTTATAATGTATGAGTTCTTTAAAATTGTTTTTTCAAGTATGGTAACCACCCTTTAAACTAGAAAATACCATTCTAAAACTACACCATTGTGGATAAAAGGGTCATACAAATCCTGGTATATTTTCCTTCATTGAGAATGTTATACTGGTAAAATGCTTTGAAAATTTAATTTTTTGGTATTTTTCTCTCAATGTCAGTTCTACTTCTCATCGAATCAGTGTGTATGAGAGAAGAAAATAAGCAGTAAAGGATTAAAACGTGAGGTTTACATTTAGACTTCCTTTTATAATTCAGTTTTCAGACTTATTATTTACTGTCTGTTTGTAGAAGGACCAGCCAGCTTCAGTGTATCCTTGGGAGACTCTTCCACAGTTTTCAAGGTTGGGAGCTGATAACCTCAATCTTCTCTCATATATTTAACTATGTGATTTTTATATTATGGTGTAACTAAAAATTACATCAGGTATTTTAAAGATCAAGTGTAATTTCAAGGCATCAGTGTAATGATGCTTTTTGATATCTTTTCCTTAATGGAACACTCAGGGTTATGAATAAAACACCAATAAAGTGCCAGCATTATTGATTGTAGATGATGTCTATTGGATAAGTGCCTTCCAGCTTAATGTCCTTTAATGTACTTACATAAATCCAGATTTAAGAATTTTATAAACTTTGGAATTAAAAATAACTTGAAAAAAGGCAAAGAATTCCTGTATCAGTTTCAAAAGTTTTATGCAAGGTGTTGATGAATTTTGAAAATTTGTTGCTGTGATAGTGTTCTTGGTGTGGAGCATGGACTGGGGAAAGGGCAGTCTACTTGAGTTGTCGTCCTGACTTGACCTTATTCTGGCTGTTTAATTTTGGGCTGCATGACCTACTTGTCTGTATTTCTGGTTTCTATCTGTAAAATGGGGATAATAATTGTACCTTTGTAATAGGGTTATTATAAGGACTAAGTAAGTACTGAAGTGTTTAGAGTGGCTGTGTAAATGTATCTGTGATGATGATGACTGTACTCCAGGCTATTCTAGTAGTATGTATATTTCCCCCTTTTAATGAGGTAGTGAAATAATAGTATTTTATAAAAATCAGGAATGTGTCTATTATAAAGATATGCCAAATAGTTATTCTTTGCAATATTATGAGTTAAGTGTTTCACCTTTATTGTACTACCTTGCAGTCACTATCAATAGTATTATGAAGACAGTATGATAGTAGATGTTTTTAACGATTTTATTTACTTTTAGAGAGAGGGGAAGGGACTGAGAAAGGGAGGGAGACACATAAAAGTGTGAGAGATACATGGATTGGTAGCCGCTCACATGCCTCCAGCTGGGGACCTGGCTTGAAACCCAGGCTTGTGCCCTGACTGGGGATCAAACAAGCGACCTTTCAGTTCGCAGGCTGACACTCAGTCCCCTGAGCCATACCAGCCAGGGCCAGATTTTATGCGTGTGTGTGTGTGTGTGTGTGTGTGTGTAAAAATGATAGCTAACTATGCTAAAATGGAGAGTATTTTTAATAAATGTAATATT